TCGTTTCCGTCGTCGTTGTCGCCGTGGTCGTCCTTCCTCCCTCGTCGTCTTCGTCGGCGTTTCGTCGTTGTCCCTTCTATTTCGTCGCCGTCGTCGTCGTCGTCGTCGTCGTCGTCGTCGTCGTCGTCGTCGTCGTCGTCGTCGTCTTCCCTTCTCCCTCGTCGTTGTCGTCGTCGCCGTCGTCGTCCTCCCTCCTCCCTCGTCGTCGTCTTCGTTGGCGACGTCGTCGTCGTTGTCGTCTTCGTCGTCGTCGTCGTCGTCGTCGGCGTCGTCGTCGTCGTCGGCGGCGGCGTCGTCGTCGTCCGCGTTATCATCGTCGTTGTCGTCGTCAGCGTCGGCGTCGTCGTCGTCGTCGTCGTCGTCGGTGTCGTCGTCGTCGTCGTCGTCGTCGAAGTCATTGGAGACGTCGTCGATGTCGTCGTAGTCGTTGTCGGCGGCGTCGTCGTCGTCGTTGTCGCTGTCGTCGTCGGCGTCGGTGTCGTTGCCAAGTGCCATTTGGTACCCACCGTCACGGTCTTAAGAGGTCTTGCGACCAAGTCGCAGGTGGGAAGGTGGGATGTTTGCTCGAGCAGTGGAGAGGACAGCTTAAAATTGAGCAAGTGCTTGATTCTTTTTTCTAAAAACAGAATAGACTCTACCCCCCCCCTGGCGTTATCACGTAACCTTTCGGGTATGTAAACCATGTATGATTCTGATCACATGTCCATCCTAAATATGAAATCACAATGTCCCAGGCCAACCGATATCCCCCCCCTGAGGTTCCCTTGTTAAAAAACACTATGCGGTGACATTTTTTGTGCTAACATAGCACTTTTTCGCGAATCCCTTGCAAAAAAGAAACGAAGTGCACACGCGCGCGTCGTCGCGCGCGCATGCCGAAGTCCTTCAAAAACCTTCGGTGCCGGAAGGATTTCGCAATCGAGTTTCCAAAAAACATACAAAAACACAGGGTTTCGCAACACTGGTTTGCTAAAAAAGCTTTCGCGCGAGCTCTTGCGAAATCTTAAGAGAACCATCGGATTTTAAAGATTTTCACAAAATGCTAGTAAACGGGCTTCGCGCGCGCGCATGTCGAAATCTGTCGAACGCCCTTGCGCGTGTGCCGTCGCGAGACTCCTCTGCAAAAAACGGGACGAAGTGCAGACGCGCGCGTCGTCGCGCGCGTATGCCGGAATCCTTCAAAACCCATCGGTTTCGGAAGAATTTCAAAATCGTGTGGCCAAAAAACCTACAAAAACCGAAGGTTTCGCAACACGGATTTTCAACAAAAGCATGCGCACGCGCTCTTGCGTCGTCATAGTAGTCGTCGCCGTCCTCCCTCCTCCCGCTTCGTCGTCGTCGTCGCCGTCGTCGTCCTGTGTCTTCGTCCTCGTGTTCGTCGTCGTCGTCCTCGTTGGCGTCGTGGTCGTTTCCGTCGTCGTTGTCGCCGTGGTCGTCCTTCCTCCTCCTCCCTCGTCGTCGTCGTCGTCGTCGCCCGTCGTCGGCGTCTCGTCGTCGTCCCTCCTATTTCGTCGCCGTCGTCGTCGTCGTCGTCGTCGTCGTCGTCGTCGTCGTCTTCCTTCCTCCCTCGTCGTTGTCGTCGTCGGTGTCGCCGTCCTTCCTCCTTCTTCGTCGGTCGCGTCGTCGCCGTCCTCCCTCCTCCCTCGTCGTTGTCGTCGTTGTCGTCGTTGTCGCCGTCGTCGTCCTCCCTCCTCCCTCGTCGTCGTCTTTGTTGGCGACGTCGTTGTCGTCGTCGTCGTCGTCGTTGTCTTCGTCGTCGTCGTCGGCGTCGTCGTCGTCGGCGTCGTCGTCGTCGTCGTTGTCATCGTCGTCGTCGTCGGCGTCGTCGTCGTCGGTGTTGTCGTCGTCGTGGTCGCTGTCGTCGTCGAAGTCTTTGGAGACGTCGTCGGTGTCGTCGTCGTCGGTGTCGGCGGCGCCGTCGTCGACGTTGTCGCTGTCGTCGTCGGCGTCGGTGTCGTGGCCAAGTGCCATCTGGTACCTACCCGCACGGTCTTGTCTTGAGAGGTCTTGCGACCAAGTTGCGGGTGGGAGGGTGGGATGTTTGCACGAGCAGTGGAGAGGGCAGCTTCAAGACGGTCAAAGTGAATTGCACCACAGAGATTGCACCACATATGTTGCGCAACATATATAGCTTAACGTAGATCGCAACACATAGAGTGCACAACAGAAGCGTTCCTTTGTAGAAGAGAATAAGGATCTACCCCCTCCAGTATTATCCGCTTGTTTCTTGTATGGCCATGTAAATATAATTCTGCCTCTTCGTGAACTCCCCATGCGAAATCAGACCATCCAATAAACCGGTATCGATTGGCCCCCATTTGTGACATATTATACTATGCGCGTACCCGTTAATCAACATTCATACATTGTCAAGAAGTCTTGGCAACAGACAAATGAGTAAGTGCATACGCGCGCGTCGTCGCGCGCATGCCGGAATCCTTCAAACAATTCCAGGATTCGTAAAGCTATCAGAATCATGCGTCCCGAAACATGTAAAACAAAAACCAATGGTTGTGCAGCATGCTGTTTCAAGACAAGTATGCGCGCATTCTTACGAATTCTTAAGGAAACCATTGGTTTTCAATTTTCTCCAGATACGACGGAACGTGCCTTTCGCGCGCATGCCGAAATCATTCGAACGCCGTCGCACGCGTGATGGGGCGGCACGACCTTCGTCAAATAGTTTTAAGTGGGCCACTCGCGCGCGTCGTTCGCGCGCGCATGTCGAAGTCTTTGCAAAACCTTCATCACCGACACGCGGACACCATCATCGTTATCGGCGTGATCAGCATCGGCACCGTCACTGCCCTTGCCGTCGTCATCGTCATCCTCGTCACCAGCGTCGGTACTATCATTGTCGACGTCGCCATGATACGGGACCCGCCCGATTCACCAACTCGCACTGAAGTGTCCACGCGTCAGGGCGGCGACGCGTTGGGAAGTCCCCAGCGATCAGCGCCACCGCGGCCTCGTCGGTCGCGCCATGCAGACAAAATGGCCGCTCCGCTCCTCGCGCGAGCTTGCGTGCGCTATCGTGGCCGCAGCGATGCGCCATCCAGTTCTAACCAGTCACCGCAATCGCTTCCGCATGGCTTTTGCAAACCAACTTGTGGGTGGGTGGGTGGGGCGATTGCGCAGCAGTTGAGTTGCCAATTTCAAGTTCGGCATGGTGAATCGCACCGCGTAGCTTGCAACACATAGAACGCACAACATATATTGCATCACGAAAATTGCATTGCGTAGATTGCGCCGCATGCTTTGCGCAACGTAGGTCGCACAACACAGACTGCACAACATGGATTGCATAACCTAAATCTCAGCACATAGATTGAACTGCATATACTACACGACGTATACTGCACAAAGCAGTTGTTCCACGTCGATTGCACAATCGTGATTGTTCGGAAAAAACTGCTTGGGGTCCACGTTGGCTAATAACATGCTCTTACTCAAGCTTGTGTCGGAATTTTTTTCCTCAGAAAGTATGGCTGACGTTTCCGCCGTATTTTTGTGGAAAGGCCCACAGTTGTGTGAAGCATTGAGCAATATTGTGGACAATTCCGCGGAATTGTCCACGAAGTAGGGGGGACATCCACACAAGGAAGGGCGGAAACAACGACAGGAAGCTAACATGGACATCGGCATCAGGTGAGCTTGAAAAGTAGGGCGGGAATCCCCACAGCGAAATCGCCCAAGAAAGAAGACGGCAGATCTGGAGCCGGGGTCCCCGAGCTGCCCCAGTCTGGTCTTGGTCTTGGCTTCCCAGACATGCGGACCCTGGAAGTCCCGACGCTTCTTCACCACGATTTGTTTTTTGTTTTCCCTACCTAGGCTCCGCCTAGAAGGGTTCTTACTCTCTTTGCTTAAAGGGCCGGGCAATGCTACACGCCCCGGGCGGTTCCCCCAGTCCCCGCCCCGCGGTTCCCCCAGTCCCCGGGGAGCTTTAGCCTTAGCTTTAGCTTAGCTTTAGCTTAGCTTTAGCTTAGCTTTAGCTTAGCTTTAGCTTAGCTTTAGCTTAGCTTTAGCTTAGCTTTTGCTTAGCTTTAGCTTAGCTTTAGCTTAGCTTTAGCTTAGCTT